TATCCGCCACCATGAAGGCGAAATACCAACGTGATCACGGCCACTTATTGCCAGCTCACGAAGCTCACAGCTGTAAATACCAAGAGGGGAAACCCTAGAAAGGGGGGCTTCTTCTGGGCCACGATTGAGAGAGAAAAAAGAGACAACGATACCCAAATTATGGGCAAGAGGAACACCATTGTAAGGCTCTGAACCTCTTCATGGAGAGGCAGACCAAACCAATATTATCAATAAAGGCTTCTAATGTTTCTCCCCCTAATCCTGAGTACTTATTTTCGTTTCTTTCATTTGGTCCAACGGATTATTACGGTTTGCTATGATTTTCCCGTGATTTATTCGTATTGTTTTATACTCATAAGATATGTAATAACTTTTGAGCAAACAATTTGGCACCGTCTGTGGGGATTTCCTAGCAAAATCGCGTAGTTCTTCCCTGGACCAAAAGGAAAGAAACGCCAAGCTCGAGGAGGAACTCGAAGATCTCAAATCAAGATCTAAGTCCTCTCTCTCTCTCGCCGATCTCAGATAGTACCAAAACAACGAAGAACGAAGCCCCNCGTTAAACACTTTTAGTTCTTTTTCAGCTTCTAATTGCATCCCATGGCTAAAATCAGCTAGCACCTGAGATTTTATTGCGGTTCTGGGCTGGTACGTGATGTCATATTCACCTAATTCTATAGACCATTTGGCTAACCTACCTGATAACTCATGCTTTTGTAATATATTGCGCAATGGATAAGCAGTTATTACTGAGATAGGGTGGCATTGAAAATAAGGCCTTAGTTTTCTAGACGCCATGATTAATGCAAGTGCAAGCTAGTCTAATTGAGGGTACCACGTCTCCGCATCTAATAATGATTTGCCAACATAATAAATTGGAGATTGCTTACCTTGGTCTTCACGAACTAGAACAGCACTCACCGCTACTTCTGATACATCCAGATAGATGAGCAATCTTTCCCCAACCTTTGGTTTTGCAAGCAATGGTGGATTTGAAAGGTATATCTTCAGGTTTTTGAGTGCTTGTTGACAATCCTCAGTCCATTCGAACTGATCTTGCTTTTTAAGGGCTGAAAAGAATTTAAAACATTTTTCTAATGATTTGGAAATAAATCTTCCCAAAGCTGCAATTCTTCCCGTTAGTCTTTGCACGTCTTTCTTATTTGTAAGCTTGTCTGGAATTTCTTCAATGGCTTTAATCTGCGCGGGATTTACTTCAATACCACGGTTAGAAACAAGAAAACCCAAAAACTTACCTGAAGAAACACCAAATGCACATTTCTCGGGATTTAGTTTCATATTGAATTTTCGTAAAATCTGAAATGTATCAGTTAAATGGGATATATGATCTCTTGATTGTTGAGATTTGACAAGCATATCATTTATATAGACTTCCATAGTTTTTCCCAAATGTTCTTGAAACATTTTGGTAACCAATCTCTGGTATGTGGCACCAGCGTTTTTGAGACCAAAGGGCATTACTTTATTACAGTAAGTCCCCCTGTCTGTTATAAATGAAATTTTTTCTTCATCTAAGGGATCCATCTTGATCTGGTTATACCCTGAATATGCATCTAAAAAGCTTAACAATTCATGTCCTGCAGTGGCATCGATTAATTGGTCGATATGTGGTAATGAAAAAGAATCTTTAGGACATGATTTATTAAGGTCTGTATAATCTACACAAACTCGCCATTTGCCATTCTTTTTCGGCACCACAACAGTATTAGCTAACCAATTAGGATACTTTACCTCGCGGATAGACCCAATTTTTAATAGTTTTTGAACCTCATCTTTAGTTACCTGATTCTTGAAAGTCCCATGCTTTCTTTTCTTTTGTTTGATGGGTTGATATGATGGGTCTTCATTTAACTTGTGAGTCATTACTTCCGGTGGAATCCCTGTCATATCAGAATGGGACCAGGCAAAACAATCCACGTTAGTTTTTAAAAATTCAATCAACTTACCTTTCATATCGCGGCTCAGGTTAGCCCCAACGTAGATTTTCCTTTCTGGCCATTGTGTAAATAACTCCACAGCCTCCAGTTCCTCAATCGTTGTTTTGATATTTTCATTTTCTTCTGGTTCTTGAATGGAATCGGGTCGTGAGTCCACATCTGTTCGCCCTTGTTCAGTTGGGGTTTGTATTGTGGTATCCTCAACTAGATGTTGTAATTGCTATTTGTCTTCGTTTCTCATATTTGAATCTGCTACAGAGTTGATGCATCTGGATGTTTGTTGATCCCCATGAATTTGACATATTCCCCATGGTGATGGAAACTTGATAACTTGATGCAAGGTAGACGGAACGACATCCATCTCGTGGATCCATGGTCTCCCGAGAATTAAGCTATTTCCAACTCTACCACCTGAAATTTTGTATCCTTGACAACCCTTTCTGCGAATGTAGTAAGCGTTACCTCCCCTTTTGTCACAACGCTTGAGTTGTCGAATCCAGACAAGGTATGCACCTTTGGTACTAGCTTATTTTCAGCTTGCATCTCATGCAGTACTCTTAACAAGATAATGTTCACGGAACTACCTGGATCAATCAAAACTCGTTTCACATTAGTATCGTGTATAAGTAGAGATATTACCAGTGCATCGTTATGTGGAATTAACACGCCATCCGCATCTGCATCATCAAATGTAATACTTTCTTCCTCTAAAACATGTCGAACCCGCTTCCCGTGGGTAATTGTGACTTTTGAAACTTTATTGGCTGCTGTGTACGTCACACCATTAATTTCTTCACCTCCGCTTATAACATTAACGGTCCTTTTGGGAGAAGGCGGTTTAGGAGGCTCCTGCCTATTCTTCATGTATGCTTGCTTACCTTTCTCACTGAATAATTCTGTGAGATACCCTTGTTTCAATAGATGATCAACTTCACCTTGTAGCAATCTAGAATCTGCCGTTTTATGACCATGATCGTTGTGAAATTTGCACCAGTGATCAGGATTGCGCCTGTTTGGATTTGATCTCATTTCTTTTGGCCACCGTACCTTATCACCCATGCTTCTTAAAACAGCTACGAGCTCGGAAGTGCTTACATTAAAATTATAACCACCAAATCTTGCCTTCAAGTTTCTATCATCATCCCGCGTCTCTCGCGTGTTTCGATCATTCCCAAACCTTGATGATGAACCCGATTCTCTATTCCTCGATCTATGATCGTACCTTTAATTGTCCTGTTTTGATCGTGAATCTTTTCCCGCTGGGCCCATATATGGTTCATATCTATTTTTACCGGACCTTTTCTCGGTTTCCGCCCGTCTCGAACTCGCCTTTTCCTCTTTTTGAGACCGTGAGATAATATCTTCTTCTATCCTTAGCTTTGTGCTATACCTGTTGTAAACGTCATTCCATGTCGTTGCTGGGAATTCACGAAGACTTTTCTTGAGTCGCCTCGTGGCTTCTGAGCTTTTTTCATTCAAATTACTGGTGAAGCCTATAGCTGCCCAATTATCTAGTACACGTGGTAGCGTCATTCTTTCACGTTGGAACCTATCCACGAACTCTCTAAGCAACTATGAGTCCCCTTGCTTGATTTTGAAAATATCTTCCATTATTTTTTCGGCTTTTTGAGCTCCCGAATGTGCTTTGATAAATGAATCTGCAAGCTCACCAAAAGAATTTATGGAATTTTTGGGTAAAAGAGAATACCATGTTAATGTTCACTTAGTGAGTGTTTCACCGAATTTTTTGACCAATACTGATTCAGTTTCTTGTTTGGTCAAGTCATTACCTTTTGCGCCAGTTGTGAATGCAGTCACGTGGTCTCATAGATCAGTTGTTCCATCGTATTTTGGAATATCAGGCATTTTGAATTTCTTTGGAATTGGAAGGGGAGCAGCACTTGGCTTCCAAGGTTGTTGTGAATACTTGTCCATATCTATCCCTTTGATTGCAGGCGGTACTCCAGGTATTTGCTCTATGCGGTCACTTTGCTCCTTGAGCTGTTTCTGCAATGTTAATACTAAATTTTGTAAATCGGAATTAACTAGGTTACCTGGTTCTATTCATCTCGTGACTCGTTGGGGATTCCACCACTGCCTGAAATAGCAAGTCCGGAACGAGGGTTCTCCAAAGTGTTGTTATTTGGAGTTGGTGTTGGTGGTGCAACAGGTAACTGGTTGACAAAAGTCTCAAGAGCTTTATTGACCTGTTGAGCGATTAGCTTTTGCAAAGCTTCAGTGATAGCTTCATCGTTTTCAAATTGAGCATTTGCATTTGAATGAGATCCATCAGGAGTGCCTTCTCGAGACCGTCGAGGGGGAGCCTTGTGGAGAAGGGGTCGGGGTACGATCATCTTGTGGATTCCCCTGCAGTTGATGGTTTCCTTGGTTGTTGTCATTAACGTTTGACATGGTTGATGCAACAAAAAAAGGTTAGATTAAGAAAGAGTAGATTATCAGATTTCCGGTAACGGAACCAATTTGTTTAACCAAAAAAGTGGAATTCGGTCAAAGCTTTATTTTAAAAGAACTCGGGTTACTAATAATCAAAAAATGAAATGAATAAAGGAAATTGATTTTGCTAATAACAAGATGAACAGAGGAGATCAAAGTAAATCAGTATATTTCGATGATATTTCGTGTCCTTACAAATGATCAAGTTGTCCCTTTTATAGCTATTTCTAGTTGATACGTTTTGCCTTTGTCATAATAAGGCCATTATAGATATTTAAAGGGTTTTAATGCTACGTTACAATCATTGTAATTCAATACAGATTCTATAACGTTCTTAGTATTTAATGCCTATTAAATACTATATCTGTTCCCGCTTTTGTTGTCAGGTTCATTCTCTTAGCTTGACTTTTGAACATAAAGAGGTGCGGGTACCGAGTCTCTTGGACCTCTGCTCGTGCCTGTTGTATTCTGTGCCTCTTTAACTATTCTTTGCTGATCGTCATCCCTTTGACCAATCTACGTGTCATGACACGCCATCTTTCATTAAATTCAATATATATGAACTTAATTTTTACCAATACAACCAGCCCATGCTCACGGGCTTCCTCTTTCTTGGTCTATCAAAGGAATCCATATCACCCTCAGAAGTTGTAGTTAAAAAAATTAATAAAACACTACTCATTTCATGCACATAATGACCATCACAAGATTGCCAGGCTATAAAGCTCAATTTTCAAGAAATAATATACTAATGGAAGGAAAAGAACAAGAAAATTACAGAATTAATAATGTAACACTTACCGCATAAAGTCCATCGTTTGGAAATCCGGGGACAGGATACCTGCTCCTAAATCCAGGCTCCCCAAACCGTGGTATACCAGGTTTGTTGCGTCCAACTGGTTCACCAAAACCAGGAAAATCACCAGGCTCTGACAACTCCCCCCTATAAGCACGGCCAGCAAAGGTACCAAAGCCAGCAGGTTCAGCAAAACGTAAATGACTTGGTAATTTCTGAGGATCCAAAGGCTCAAGATGATGCAAATGATTCGGAGCGTCTTTTCCAAAAATATCACCACTATGGACGTGGTTGTAAGGACGAATAAAGGTAGTATGCTCGGTACCTCTCAAGTCCCCATGACCATCAACCTCGAGTCCATGTGAGTGGCCAGGCAAAGGTTGGAACCTACCATCAGAGAATAAACGACCAGCTACATTGGAAGGAAAATTTAAAGGTTTAGGCCCTTCAATAAATTGGCGGGGCTCTCTGCCACCAATATCTTCAAAACCTGAGTGACTTCGAAATCCGCGCTGTGGAATGTTATCGAAAATAATCATATGAGAAATCGTCTGACGAAGAGTTCCCTAGCTAGACGATTTTCCACGTGGAATGAATTATGAAAATAGTATGGCAGAATGGTATGATTATACGACTAGAGAACAGACCTCCCCATCAGGATTTCGGGCAGACAAATAACCCATATGATGCACACAAAACCCAGGTCCTGCCCTTTTTCTATCATCATCATGAGGACCAAGTGGTGCTTCTCTTTCTCCACTGTCCTTGAAATGCATCGAATCAGGAGGATGATATGGTGGCAATAATCTGTTAGGTGGAACCCAGGCACTGACCTCCAATTTTGATCCAGAATCATATACTAATCCGCGAGGTGGCTTGTCAAGTGGCCGTGATGCTGCATCAACAAGTTCATTATTTAATGTAATCATTTAGGAAACTGATTATTTTTCTTCCGATAAATATAAATGATTATGGAAATTGTTGAATATCAAATTCCAACTCACCTTGATCATGAGGCACTGGTAAAGGACTTAAATGCTCTCCCATAGGCGCCTTCAACCTTTTATTCCTAGCTGATTCCATACTTCTAGATTGTCCAAATGGAACCTTTTCATAAGACCCTGGTGAAAACGGATTTGGTTGATTTCCATCAAAACGATTACTTTGATTTTGAAACATTTCAGATTCTGCTGGATTAACCAAGTGTTGTGTTCCACTGGGAATTTCAGGACCACTTAATGGTGCTCTTCCCATTCCCGTTATCCCCTCTCGGTAATCACCTGCTGGAGGAAAATGANGCCTTCACTTTATAGGCGACACAACGTGGCCTTCATGCACCCCAACAGCCACCATTAACTACATGACCAACCGCACACCGGTTCGATTCCATAGGAATGTGCGTCATTATGACAGGCTCCATAAAGCAGCCTTGCAATCACCCGTCAGCGTCTCGCCCTCGAAATGGTTATAACGACCTATGATGCCGAGGAGGTGCTCCTTGCGCCCTAGAAATTTTTTGACACCGCCAAGCACGTATCAAGCGTGCCCTCATTCCCCTCGGCCGCACAACATACGACCCGTCCGCCATGGTCGACGGGTATGCACCCAAAACAAACGTAAGGATCAGAGCACAATACAGCTCGACCTCACTCGAAGTAAGTTAAAAGGTCAAGCGCCTTCGCCCAGGAGGAGAGTTCGACCTCGATCGAACGATGACTTGATAGCCCAATAACAGGATACTAATACTCTACAAGGCTAAGGGCCATCGCCAAAAAGAATTCGGCCTCGACCGAAGCAACAGTCGACCTCCCCATCCGAGTTTCTCAAACTACAGTCAATGGAATCCACTCATCGAGTTCGGCCAAGGCCCGACCTCAATAAGCGAAGGGACTAACTGTATGGGTCAGAATCCGACCCCACGATAATTAACGAGGCTAATCCCGTCTTAAGCTAATTCATGATTAATTAGTGACACGACCACTCAGAATTAACGATATTCAACCCGCATCTGGTTCGATCAGCAAGGCCATGGCCTATCCGCCACCATGAAGGCGAAATCCCAACGTGGTCACGGCCACTTATTGCCAGCTCACGAAGCTCACAGCTATAAATACCAAGAGGGGAAACCCTAGAAAGGGGGGCTTCTTCTGGGCCACGATTGAGAGAGAAAAAAGAGACGACGATACCCAAATTATGGGCAAGAGGAACACCATTGTAAGGCTTTGAACCTCTTCATGGAGAGGCAGACCAAACCAATATTATCAATAAAGGCTTCTAATGTTTCTCCCCCTAATCCTGAGTACTTATTTTCGTTTCTTTCATTTGGTCCAACGGATTATTACGGTTTGCTACGATTTTCCCGTGATTTATTCGTATTTTTTTATACTCATAAGATATGTAATAACTTTTGAGCAAACATTATCCATTCCCAATTACTATTGTGGGTCGTCCTTCTACCATGACACAATTTGAAGAGATTCTGATAATCCTACGCAAGTGACGAGATATGTAAACGTTCTTGTGCTTGCATAAACCAGTAATTATGTGTCAATGACACTAAAGTCAAGATACCCTAATTAACTTAGATGTCATGTATTCAATCGGCCCACACGCACATTATTAAGGGGAGATTTTTAAAAATAGTCAGATTTACAACTGATCGTTCAAAAATAGCCCAATTTCAAAAGTAATCGAAATTTAGCCACTTTTTATGTAAAGATTAATCTGAGCGAAAACACTGATCAAAATTCGAAAAATACTCCAGTATATTATGCTGGAGTTCCAGCATAAGTATACTTGAACTCCAGCATATTATACTGGAGTTCCAGGATAGTATGCTGGAATTCCAGCATAATATGATGGAGTTCCAGCATAAGTACACTAGAACTCCAGCATAATATACTGGAGTTCCAGCAAGTATAATGGTCCAGTATAATATATTGGAGTTTGGAGCACCAGTGCTCCAGTCTCCAGTATATTATACTGGAGCCAGCAAAGTATATCGGTCCAGCATAATATGTTGGAGTTCATACACAAGTGCACTGAACTCCAGTTTATTATGCTGGACCGGTCTCTACTGCAGCAAAACGGTAGCTATTTTCGATTGACTTGGTAAACGCAGGCTATTTTTGATTGACCAGTCCGAAAACTGGCTATACCGTGCTATTTTTACCATTATTAAGGGATCACTTGGCACGCCCCTTGAAAAATTACTTTTATTAAGGGATTATTTTACTAATTCCAGTGAGGGTTAAACCTTTTACCTAAAGATCAAACAAAAGAAATGAGGTCTAAAATAATCCACACTTGATCGGTTCAAAATTTCAACATGCTATACATGCTTGTAGTTTCCTCGATGGAAAAGCTAACTTTGTTTGATTACTCCAAATCTCTTGGATCGTCTCCTCAACTTTATCTGCTTTATAAACAACGCACCGCACCGCACTACCTCTATTTTTGTTAATTCAGATTTTTAATTATAACATTTAGAGAATCAAACGTTTTCCTTCCATCTATAGTCAATGTATACATGAACGGACTAAATTAAAGTGAAGTGGTCAATTTATTAGTAACTATATATGAATTCTCTTTGAACTTAGCTTTACAATGACAAATGTCATTTCTCCATTTGCCTTTCGGTTTATTCTAGTATTTGCAATGCCACCAACAAACCATTAACCCACTAATCCAATCTGCAATATTACCAATATATCAATATCTGGTGACGAGATCTTTAATGCATGGAACCGAAAGTAAGTGTGAAACACCCCAAAATTCCTTTTCAGATATCTTATATATCCAGCAAGTGCTCCTTTTGAATAATGCCTTCCCTTTTATGGGCGTGATCTCACATTTCTTGTAATCAGTACCTTTTCTTTAGTCAACATTTTACATTATTAACTTATCATTTTTGACACCTGATCACGCCCAACTATGCCTTATAAAAAGGACTCTGCGGACGTTGCAAATATAACCCGAGTATTACGCCCAGGGTCGAATCCACAGAGAGTTAACCTATCAACCGCTATCTTCAGACCCACTAAGTCTTCAGAACCAGCTTCTCAAATATTCAAATTCTCAGTTGAGTGTTCTTTAATAACTAACTTGCAAGTAACTAAATGGCTGTAACTAAATTAAAAGGGTTGTAAACAATTATGAGAAAAAACTAAGGCAATGATTTCCCCTATTGATGGAATCCCTTCTGTTTATGCTCATACAAATTTACCCACACATCTCTATCAATTATGAACGCTAATCTTACCGCAAATCTCTCCCGAGTAATTACAGTAATTTACTATTGCACTCTCCCGAGCTACACTAGCTTACTTTATTTAGCACAATTCAATTTAGATTGCACCCAAGGCTTCGTTATTCCTAATCCCGCCTTTAAACCCGCAATTATAGATTCCTCTAATAATTTAGGAGTGGTGTTGTTCAACAATACCCTAAATATGCACTCTTTTCCAAGTTATGCACACTAAATAGGCACAGCTAATTGAGGATCCTGTCAATTAACTACAACGAACACGAAGTTGAACAAATAAAGATTAAACTAGCAATTTGTATTCACATAAACAAGAAGTTCATCACCCAATAGGTTCCATCAAAGCCTTAGACAAGGAATTTAGCTACTCATGGCTATGGAAAAATAAACTAAGCTTGAATTCATCATAAAATCAAAAGAAAAGAAGAAAGATGTTTAGAGTATTTTCTCACAATGTTTTTCCTTGCTAAGAAACCTAAAAAATCAATACATCCTCTCAATGTTTTAAATAGGGTTTAGGTCTAAAAATCCCGTAATTGACACTTTGGTCCCTGAAGTTTACTGCGCCTGCCGCGGTTCTGCCGCGGTCGCGGTAGAACCGCGGCCAAACACCCTCGCGGAATCTCAATCTTCTGCAGCTGCTTCCCACCGCGGTTCTACCGCGGTCGCGGTGGAACCGCGGTGGATCCAGTTCTCTGAATCTTCAGCCTGTTTTTGCACGGGTCACTTGGGAAATTTCACAATTGGCCTCTTTTTCATCACTTTTGACTCCAAAACTGCTCCTTAGCCTTTATACATATATCACCTACAAATCATGAAAAGCACTAATAAGAGCATTTTGTCATCACTTTTAGCATTAAAACTACACAAGAAGGTGATTATTTAAGGTGTGATTATAGTCAAATTCACCTATTATCAACACCCCACACTTAAATCTTTGCTCGTCCTCGAGCAACTAAACCACACTTCTAGGCCTAACTGCTCAATGCATTGCCCCAATTTATGTCACACCTGCTATTATCAAAGATCGACCTAAGCGGTGCACAATCATATCTCAAATGCAGACTCTCATGCCAAGACACACTTGTGCTCACTCTAATTACTCTAACAGAAGTGAAGACTCACCTTTTCTTCCTGAGTCACATGTCCTCACATAAACAAAATTTGAGAGAAGTTCCACACACACATAAAATTCAACAACAAGGAACCATATATAGAAAGAATTCACTCACTCTCAGCAAAGAGCATTCACATGCCACACAGACACACCATAAGCTTGCCCCTAGTGTCATACTCCATTAATCGAGCCATTCAGTCAAAGATCAAGAGGTCTTTATAGGTTGTAATGTAGGCTAAGGGACGGGTAGGATATATTTGGATATAGTGACTAACCTCCCTAAGCACTTTTAATACACACTTCCTTTTATTTCACCTTCATGTTCAACCCAATCATTATTCCACATTTTATTTCACTTGTGACCCCCACTTTTCTTTAGGTACAACTGGCTTCTTTTTCTCTCTCTTTTTTTTTTTTTGAGATTTATTGTACACTGCCAGTTCACCAATCAGAACTTTCATTCTTGATTCCCTTTTTTTCATTAACTCTCTCCCACCCCACACTTTGACTTTTGTATATTCTTTAGTGATTCAAGTGCTTCTAGGAGGTAAAGATTCAAACAATTAGCTTATTCAAACACAGCGATTTAGATCATTATAGGGTTATCAAAGAACATGCTTCAGGCTCAAAGGGGTTAACTATGGTAATATGCACAGGTGGATTCTCAAGTATAGAGGGTTGCACAAAGAAATGCCTCAATCATCTCTAAACCAAACGACTTCTATTTCGCTTTGCACACACACAGGGCAAGTTCTAGGTATCATATGCAAGCATAGGATGCAAGTAACAACTCACACACACTTAGCATGTAACTCATTCCGAATCAGTTCATCAACACAATCATACGAGTGTTCAAGCAAGACAATATGTGCAAAATTAAGGCATATATTATGAGTCCACAAACAAGCTTAGACGTCCACTCTCAAGTTCTTTTCTTTGCAAGTGTGCTACATTTGGGGGTTACCATTCTGACCCTTT